ATCTACAGGACCTTAAACTCCAATATCAACCTTGACCTAAAACGCTTTCTTGATAGTTGTGACAGAACCCACAGGCATAACACCAGACACAAACATATCTACGACATTCCCTGTGTCCGACTAAACCTTTACAAAAATTCAATGTATGTCAAAGGCCCTAAAATCTGGAACACCCTACCTGAGAACTCTAGAACTGCAGACACATTCATCACCTTCAAAACTACCATTAGAAAACATCTTATCTCCCTGATACACCCCATCAACTAACTACACGAATACCACCTGGTGGTTCACACTTACACTCACTCACCCATTTGACCATAAACAGAAATATTAATCTCAATCTTAAAATAATGAATCCTATGATACTCCAATACTGAAACTATATACTGTGCCAAAACAAAAGCATTCACATTGCTAAACTCACAAACTAGTATTTAGTCACTTAGCCATAATACCAACTTACCTCATAATTTGTAATATTTTAAAATAAAGAATTAAACTAAGTCTGCCCGAAATGCCTAGCCATGCTAGGCGTTCTAGTGGTACACTCTGTAATCATTATTTAACTACATGTAAACCACACAACAACCAAATTCTGTAAATTCAACATTGTAATCTTTATAAGAATAAACTTTGAATTGAATTGAATTAAATTTGTTTGGGGGGGGGTAGGGGTGCAAGTGAAGTACCCTGGGCCAGGGGGCGGCGCCTGAAAATTTTGGGGAACTACTGGTCTAGAGTTTTTTTTTTTTTTTTTTGACTATTTGGTTGTGGCAGGATTTTTATTTTATATTTTTTATTCTTATTTTATTTTTATTATTATTATTATTTTTTTAAAATTCAAAGTGGAGCATAAACCCGTAGGATTATGCAGCGCCTGTGGGGGGGATTAAAAGGGTATTCGGGCTTAATTCAGGAACTGGAGCACATATCCAATTCCCTAGATCAAAACCCCCCTCACCCATCAAAAAAACTCCCTTGAGGGGAGGGTTTTCTTAGATATCAAGTTGCCAGCTTTTCCCTTTAGTAAATTATATGATGTAGTTTGTCTTTTTCCAATCATGTATACCAACCTTGTGCAAAATGGATACAAAAAATCATTTGATATCTCAAAACACATTTTTTCTGCGTTATCCCTAGTGAACATCAATGGTATAAAATACCACAGGTTGTTAGGTAAGAACATATGCAACGTTGGGGTACTTTATTTCAAAAACGTTTCCTACACAGTAGGTTTTTTCAGTCGAGTACAAAAATTTTATAGAAGCGAAGATACTTAAGACGATGTAACACCCAAATCACCCTTGAAGTTTTGAGGTGGTAAAGTCCCTAAAAACTGTTGATGTGTCTTCCCAACAACATGTTATGCCTACTGTCCTACAGTGTGTTTAAACCCCCCCCAAAAGGCAATATTTGTAACATCTGCCCTATGTTTTGATCAAAGGTAATAATACAATAATTTGAATGAAAAAAACACCTGACCAAACTGAGTATTTCATGTTTTTTATTTTTTTATTTTTTTAGTTTTTCTAACATACATTGGATTTTTGTATTTCAATAGGGGGGTTGCAATGCAAAAACCTCTATTTCCCTGGGCATTATGGCCGATTAACTTTTGGTTTACAGACCTTACACAAAATTTATGACATAGCTTACAAAAGAATTTAATAATAAGAATTTTAAATTATTATATCACTACGAAAAGGTCCTAGAGAACTAGAAACAAAAAAATGCAGATGTAATATATCAGACTTTGCAAAAGCCTTCGACAAGTGTGCCATGGCTAATAGCGCACAAATGCGTGCAAAGGAATAACGGAAAGTTGGTAGAGGGACTAAAATTTTCCCCCTCACAAAAACACAACAGTAGTAGTCAACAGAGAAAGTTGAGGCAGCCGTGAAAAGCTCTGTTCCACGAGCACGTACTCGTTTCCCATTTGTTCCTCATCCTATATCCGACTAGACAAGGGTCAGCCCAGCACCGTGTTTTCCCTTTGCAGATAACCCAATCGCAGACATGTCTTCCATTGCAGACCTGAAAGGGGCCCCAGGCGGACATAAACCAACTTTCAGTGGCTGGAAAACATATGAAGTTCAACATGAAAATTTCAATTACTCAGATAGGTAAACACGGGGAAATTTAAAATTTTCTCAGAGTACAAACAAATTCTGGCCAAAAATAGAGCGAAACCCAAAGTCAAAGACGGGGAGTGATCATTTCGGAGGACTCACCTTAAAGGGACCAAAAAAAAATTGTATCAATTGCAGCTAAAAAAATGACGGTGGTTTCAATTAAAAATTCAAATTCAAAGTTTTTTCTCTATAAGGTTTTACAATGCTGATTTTACAGAATTTGGTTATTGGGTTTTTTACATGTATAAAAAAAATAATTACAGAGTTCCCACTAGAACACCTACATGGCTAGGCATTTCGGGCAAATTAGTTTAAATCTTAATTTAAAATTTTAAAAAATTATAGGTAATTTGGGTATTAGGGCTGACTAAATACAGTTTGTGAGTTTAAAATGTGAATGCTTTTGTTTTGGACTATACATAGTTTCATTTTTGGGAGTACCCCCAAACTTATGATAGTTAAGATTCATTTTTTTGAGATTGAGATTGATATTTCTGTTTATGGCAAATAAATAGGAGGAAGTGTTAACCACCAGGGGGTTTTTCGTGTAATTTTTTTACAGGGGTATCAGGGAGATAAATTTTCGATGGGGTTTGAAGGTAATGAATTGTCTGCAGTTTTAGAATTTTTAGGAGGGTGTTCAGTTTTTAGGGCATTTGACATACATTGAAATTTTTTTAAAGGTTAGTGGGGGAAGGGTAATGTCATAGAGATGTTTGTGTCTGGTGTTTGCCTGTGGGTTTTTTCACAACTATCAAAAAAACGTTTTAGGTCAAGGTTAATATTGGAATTTAAGGGCCGAGATTTAGATTGACAGTATAAGTGTGGATTTTCTGAAAGGGATAAATTTTGATAATAGAACCTTTTAAAACAGGGATCCAAGCCCATGATGACACTCTTCAGGGCACTTGTTCTATCAGGCTGGGGAAAATTTCTGCACACAAACAGCACCTTTCAAGGGGGTGAAATTGTGGAGAAAATGTACAGAGAACCTTCACGGGGGGGGCATAAAGGGATAAAACCCTCAATTACTGGGGCGCTTGGGTTCCTGAACCGTACTCCCCGGAACGCAGGCGGGAGAATACATGATTTTATACACCTGGAAAATCCTAGAGGGACTATACCGAAATTCACACAAAATCACTCAAAAACGAAAGCAAAAGACTTGGCAACGATGCAAAAATCCCCCCCTGAAAAAACAGGGGTGTCACTAGCCGTTAGAACCCAACAATAAGTGTCAGGGGCCGGAGACTGTTCAACTTCCTCCCACACAACAAGGGGTTCCCTAACCCTGGCGTCTTCAAGCTGGCATGGACAAGCACCTAAAGTCGGACCCGCCACCCGGGGTGGGCTCGTACGTTGGTTTGCGTGCAGCCACCCCTAACACCTGTTGATCAGGGTCTGATCCACCAGGAGGGCCCGGGCACAGACCGGGGCCCCGGGGGGGTTGGCCCCCGGGAAATCTCTCCAGTGATTTTTAATTATAAGTGAACTAAATTTTTTTTAAAAACAAAAGATATATTTTTAAAATGTTTTTGTAAAACAAAGATTTTCAATTATATTACCTGGAGCTTACCTGGAGAGAGTTCCGGGGGTCAACGCCCCGCGGCCCCGGTCGTGACCAGGGCCCCCTGGTGGATCAGAGCCTGACAACCAGGGTTTCTGCTGGTGCACGCAAACCAACGTACGGCCACACCCGGCGGTTCTAAGTAAATTTTTTGAAATTATAGTGGGGAAAAACTATGAGTATTTTGTACTGAGATTTAGCATTTAGTCTAGGGGGATTAAATGGCTTTTGAGAAGAGTCTTTTAAAATTTATTTTAGACCTGGTTACTTTAGTATCTTCTGGGAATGAAATTCCAAATTTTGGGGCCCTTTATGTATAAGTTTTTACACGGGTGAGTGGACCAGGTATATCAAAAAAGATCTGTGTCTTGTGTTATGGTCAGTGTCCCCTTTTTGGTTGGGGAGGAGAAATTTTTAGTGGAGGGTTATATTTGCGTGTATTTTTGTGTATGTAGTAGGCACATGAATAAGTATAGCTGTTCTTAATGGTGAGCAGATTCAGACTTTTGAAAATTGGTGGAGTATGCTGCCTTGAGTGGGAATTTGTTATCATTCTGACTGCTGCCTTTTGCTGAGTTATTAGGGGTTTTAGGTGATTGAATGTTGTTGATCCCCGTGCACAAATTCCGTAAGTAAGATAAGGGTATATGAGTGAATGGTACAGTGCCAGGAGAGGTGACTGTGGAACGTAGTACCTTATCTTTGATAGTATACCTACAGTCTTAGATTTTCTTGGTGATTTGTTGTATGTGTGGACCCCAATGGAAATAAGTCACTCTGACGTTTTTGGGTTATCCTAGGTTCTCTACACATATGCTACTATGTATGATAATCTATGTAACTGTATTTGTGTATACCTGAATGAACTTACTTACTTAATTGTAAAATGATGCATATAGACAAATTAAAGTATGAAGAGGTTGTAATATATACTATAATTTTAAACGTTAGTTGGACCCCAATGTAAATAAGTCAGTTTTTTTTTGGGTTATCCTGGGTAATTTACACATGTTACTATGTAAAACAATAGTAATCATTTAAAAGCTTGTGTAAGTATACATAGATAAAGTTGCACATTGTATGACGCCAAATATTGTGATGGATATGTACATGTAGTTAGGTTAGTCAGGTTATTCACTGTTGGGCTGGGTTAGTAATTGGATGAGTGAGTGGATAGACAGGTTGGTCATGGCTTGGGGAAGGTTAATAAGCCAGGGGAGGTTGGGTATGCATTATGGAGAGGTTATAAATAAAGAGTGTGAGTGCCTGGGGAGTCAAAGGTGGCGGTGCGGTGAGTCAACTTCCTGTGTCTCCTCCCAGCATGCACCGCCACACACAAATGGCTGCACGGCAATAGGTGACTCCTTCTTGGGCCTTCCTTAGCCTTCCCTAAACTGTGCGTTGCAGAACATATGAGCCGCTAAGGACCGGGCAAGCTTGTGTGTAGGAGCTGGTGGCCATTGTTGCCTGGTGAGGAGTACTGGAGGCAGCCAGGGAACAACCCCCCCCAGCAGCCACCCACAACACAGCTGACTCCACCATCCTCCCCAATCATGGACCAAACTCTACACAATACCTTGTTGATATAGTGATAAGCAGTGCTACAAGAAGGGCAGTATGTCGGCCGAGGCGGCGGATAAGGGTAATGAGGACTCGATTAAGGTTGTGGCAAGGTTCCGGCCGTTGAATGACTCTGAGGAGAGAGCAGGATCAAAGTTCATCGTCACATTCCCACACAACAAAGATGACCAGCTAGTCAACATAGGGGTGAGTCTCTCTCTCTCTCTCTCTCTCTCTCTCTCTCTCCTCATTAATCAGCACACTTATGCGTGGCCTTCGTGGCACATAATAAAAACTATTGTGCATTACTTTTTGACATTGACGGGAATTCCACTTTCTAATGTAATTGTTGACCTAACCTAGAAAGAACTGTCAGCAATTACTTGGAACATTAAGGTGTGGCACGTTAATGTTCTACCTTTTCTAATTTTCATTTAAGATATCATTTAAGCAATGAAGATATACATATTGTATATTAAAAGTATTATGGTGAATTTCAGTTACTATTATGAAAGTATTATGTGGTGCTATTTTTCAAAATAAATCTTTAGACTGAAATGGAAGTTAAATGCAGTTATTGACCCCTGTAGGTTTAATGCTTAGTTATGATTGCAATAATATGTAGCTATATATCAGCATTGAAGATATAAATTCAATCAAGTTATACCATGGAAGCAGTGTATGATCCTTGTAGGTTTAGCACTTTTTTTTTATTATAATAATATAACATGTAAACTAATATCCTAATTTCCTCATAAAAATGAGAAATTGGCTCCCACACAGTCTGAAACACATTTGATCCTACCACTAAGTAAGATACAGTTCATTAGCTTTGAAAGTTTAAAGGAGGTTCCTTAATGCTAGTAAGGGGTTCTGCAAGCAGTAACCTAACCTAAGCAAGCTTAACCTAAATTAAGCCTAAAAAGTAGCAGATGCCTACTGATAGTGTTACGAATATCAGTACAGTACCATGAAAATTGGCTGGTTCCTACCAATACTCAGATTTTAAGCCGATTCTGATACCAATACCATGAAAATTAACCAATACCCATCAATGCTGATACTTTGGCACACTCCTAGATGTGACATTTTTCTGGAATTTTAATTACTCCTAGGTATTTGTTATAGAGTAAACTAACTGCCTTATAATGGAACTTAGTGTTACGTATTTGTATAGAGAAATTATTGATTTGTTTCTGTTGTAGAGAAGTGTATCCTAAGGGTGTAATAGTTTTTTTTTTTTTTTTTTTTTTTATTAACACACTGGCCGATTCCCACCAAGGCAGGGTGGCCCAAAAAAGCAAAACTTTCACCATCATTCACTCCATCACTGTCTTGCCAGAAGGGTGCTTTACACTACAGTTTTTAAACTGCAACATTAACACCGCTCCTTCAGAGTGCAGGCACTGTACTTCCCATCTCCAGGACTCAAGTCCGGCCTGCTGGTTTCCCTGAATCCCTTCATAAGTGTTACTTTGCTCACACTCCAACAGCACGTCAAGTATTAAAAACCATTTGTCTCCATTCACTCCTATCAAACACGCTCACGCATGCCTGCTGGAAGTCCAAGCCCCTCGCACACAAAACCTCTTTTACCCCCTCCCTCCAACCTTTCCTAGGCCGACCCCTACCCCGCCTTCCTTCCACTACAGGCTGATACACTCTTGAAGTCATTCTGTTTCGCTCCATTCTCTCTACATGTCCGAACCACCTCAACAACCCTTCCTCAGCCCTCTGGACAACAGTTTTGGTAATCCCGCACCTCCTCCTAACTTCCAAACTATGAATTCTCTGCATTATATTCACACCACACATTGCCCTCAGACATGACATCTCCACTGCCTTCAGCCTTCTCCTCGCTGCAACATTCATCACCCATGCTTCACACCCATATAAGAGCGTTGGTAAAACTATACTCTCATACATTCCCCTCTTTGCCTCCAAGGACAAAGTTCTTTGTCTCCACAGACTCCTAAGTGCACTGCTCACCCTTTTCCCCTCATCAATTCTATGATTCACCTCATCTTTCATAGACCCATCCGCTGACACGTCCACTCCCAAATATCTGAATACATTCACCTCCTCCATACTCTCTCCCTCCAATCTGATATCCAATCTTTCATCACCTAATATTTTTGTTATCCTCATAACCTTACTCTTACCTGTATTCACTTTTAATTTTCTTTTACTTTGCATACCCTACCAAATTCATCCACCAACCTCTGCAACTTCTCTTCAGAATCTCCCAAGAGCACAGTGTCATCAGCAAAGAGCAACTGTGACAACTCCCACTTTATGTGTGATTCTTTATCTTTTAACTCCACGCCTCTTGCCAAGACCCTCACATTTACTTCTCTTACAACCCCATCTATAAATATATTAAACAACCACGGTGACATCACACATCCTTGTCTAAGGCCTACTTTTACTGGGAAATAATCTCCCTCTTTCCTACATACTCTAACTTGAGCCTCACTATCCTCGTAAAAACTCTTCACTGCTTTCAGTAACCTACCTCCTACACCATACACCTGCAACATCTGCCACATTACCCCCCTATCCACCCTGTCATACGCCTTTTCCAAATCCATAAATGCCACGAAAAACCTCTTTAGCCTTATCTAAATACTGTTAACTTACATGTTTCACTGTAAACACCTGGTCCACACACCCTCCTACCTTTCCTAAAGCCTCCTTGTTCATCTGCTATCCTATTTTCCATCTTACTCTTAATTCTTTCAATAATAACTCTACCATACACTTTACCAGGTATACTCGACAGACTTATCCCCCTATAATTTTTGCACTCTCTTTTGTCCCTTTGCCTTTTATACAAAGGAACTATGCATGCTTTCTGCCAATCCCTAGTTACCTTACCCTCTTCCATACATTTATTAAATAATTGCACCAACCACTCCAAAACTATATTCCCACCTGCTTTTAACATTTCTATCTTTATCCCCTGAATCCCGGCTGCCTTACCCCGTTTCATTTTACCTACTGCCTCACGAACTTCCCCCACACTCACAACTGGCTCTTCCTCACTCCTACAAGATGTAGTTCCTCCTTGCCCTATATACGAAATCACAGCTTGCCTATCTTCATCAACATTTAACAATTCCTCAAAATATTCCTTCCATCTTCCCAATACCTCTAACTCTCCATTTTATAACTCTCCTCTCCTATGTTTTTTTATGTTCATAATTCTGTCAGCCTTAACTTACTACTGTCAGTATGCATTGGCTCACCATATAAGAGCTTTAATAGTAACTGTGTATCATGCCAAGACAAAACCATTCTCATTGCTAAATTTACAAATTGTATTGCAGTTACCTAGCTTTAATATCAATATGCTCCATAACCTGCATCAGTATAGTTAGAATTATTATTAGTCTGCCTGAAATGTCTAGTCATGCCAGGCTTGATAGTGGCCCTCTTTGTAATTAGTATTTTATATGTAATCCACATGTTGTAACCAATATTTCATAATATGTAAACCCCACATTGTAATCTTTACAGAGAAATAAACATTTGTAATTGTATATGTTTGAAAAATTCTTTTTATCCAGTCACTTTTCTTTCCCTTTGTACTGTAGCTATGATTGTAACTCTTCTGCCTTTTAAAAACCAAGATCTTCCTTTATGTGTAATAAAGTTGGTAGAATTACCGACAATATGTAAAGTAAAAGGACACAAGTGCAACTAATGTGACATTTATTGTGGCAACGTTTCGCTCTCCAGGAGCTTTATCAAGCCATTACAAACAATACATGGACACAGAGGGTATATAAAGGCTCAGAGTGAGGTGTAATACTAGTGAGGTACCATTTCGATGTTCACTAGTGGTAGTAGTAGTAGTAAAAACGTTGCCACAATAAATGTCACATTAGTTACATCTTCCTTTATGATCATTCCTCGATGTACACTATATACAATATAATGTTTTGCTTTGAAATTCTTTAAAAAGGTTATACTATTACAAAGTTGCACTAATTTTATACTAGTCCTGTAGTACTATGCTCCTTACTTAAGGTAATTATTAATGTACATAATTAATGACGCTTCCTAATTTCTAAATTTTACTTCACAGGGAAAAGTTTACCAGTTTGATAACATTCTGAAGCCTAATGTAACACAAGAAAAAGTGTACAATACAGCAGCAAGAGATATTGTTAAAGGTAAGTAGTTTTGTCTTCCTGATTTTTCAATTTTATAGGGTTTTCATAAGCATCATTCCATGTCAATTCACTCTGAACTTTGACATTTTATTTGTTTAAACCATTTATTTATCTCATATTACTTTAAAGTTGATCATCACAGTTGCTTAAATCAATTTATTTTCAGTGTCAGAATATATTTTGTACCAAATTACAGCAGTAATTTGTTACAAAAATTTGGTAGGAGGCAGGGTACCTAAAAAGAAAACCAAGAGCTTTTCTTGTTACATGTAGTAATTTATACAGAAGAAAGGGTTAAAAGTTTATTAAATGTAATATTGTCTTTTCTCTTTGCAGATGTTCTCAATGGGTACAATGGAACAATCTTTGCCTATGGGCAAACATCATCTGGAAAAACTCACACCATGGAAGGAGTTATTGGGGACCCAAATCTCCAGGGTATCATACCTCGGATCATCCAAGATATCTTTAATCATATCTATAACATGGAAGAAAATCTTGAATTCCACATCAAAGTATCATATTTTGAAATCTACATGGATAAAATTAGAGATTTGTTAGATGGTGAGTACTGGTGGTATTCTATTGTATTGTTTTTCCCCTATTTTTTTTTTTCCATTGAATAGCATTTTCTGCTTTTTTTCCTAGAGTATAGAATGACTACCAGTGAGGTATTCATTGCAGAATAAGATTTAATGCAGGGATGGAAATATGCCAGAGGCTTGCTCGATTTTTTTTTTTTTTTTTTTTTTTTTTTTTTTTTTTAACACTCCCGTTTCCCACCGAGGCAGGGTGACCCAAAAAGAAAGAAAAACTTTCATCATTCAACACTTTCACCATCACTCGTATATAATCACTGTCTTTGCAGATGCGCTCAGATACAACAGTTTAGACGTCCCTCCAAACTGCCAATATCCTAAACCCCTCCTTTAAAGTACGTACTTCTCGTTTCCAGGACTCAAGTCCGGCTAACCAGTTTCCCTGAATCCCTTCACAAAATATTACCTTGCTTAAACTCCAACAGCTCGTCAGGTCCCAAAAACCATTCATCTCCATTCCACTAACTAAATATTTAACACTGGAACCTGAAATAGTTCCTAACTTATGGTTGAGATGAATGAGTATACAATATCTATGGCTGACACTTGGGAATATTGTTCCTACCAGAAGACAATCCTTTCCTTTTGTATCCCCTTGGACCATATTAGGAGCTATACTTCTAAAGACCGTGTGGATGGGAAATATGAGGTAAATGAAACGTGAAAATAGTACGTAGTTGTATTGTAACTAGAACTTTTCATCAAAGCACTTGATGTAAACTGTCTTCTAAAAACAACAACCAGCGTTAGAGGCCCTAACCAGGATGTGCATTATATGTATGCAAGATGATAACTTGAGAAAATAAAAATACATTCATTTGCATTAAATTGTAGTGTCATTCTTAAGAGAAAATACTGATTTAACTATACTATTACAAAGTTGCATTAGTTTTACAATTATGTAGTACTATACTGTGACCATGCACGCGGGGTCACAGCTTCTGGCCCCGGCTCTGTGCTGTTTGTGTATTTGTGTTTTCATATCTGACTTGAAAATCTCCATTAATAAATGTTAATTTTCCTGCCTAACAGTGTCCAAAGTGAATCTTGCTGTGCACGAAGATAAAAACCGTGTACCATTTGTGAAAGGCGCCACTGAACGGTTCGTGTCATCTCCAGAAGAGGTGCTCGAGGTCATAGAAATGGGCAAAAGTAATCGTCATGTTGCAGTTACAAGTAAGTGGTTTTATTGAACCATATCTAATTTATTATAAGAGATTGTATTATTATTTATTATTTTGTAAGGGGGGAGTGTTTAAGTGGAGAGAAGTAAATGGGATTAGGTCAGGGGTTTCAAATAGAGCTAAAGGAGGAGTTGCAATAATGTTGAAGGATAAGCTATGGCAGGAAAAGAGGGAGTATAAATGTATTAATTCAAGGATTATGTGGAGTAAAATAAAGATTGGATGTGAAAAGTAGGTTATAGTAAGTGTGTATGCATCTGGAGAAAAGAGAAGTGTAGAGGAGAGAGGTTTTGGGAATTGTTGAGTGAGTGTGTGGAGAGTTTTGAACCAAGTGTGAGAGTACTTGTGGTTGGGGATTTCAGTTCTAAAGTGGGTAAAAATGTTGTGGAGGGAGTAGTAGGTAAATTTGGGGTGCCAGGGGTAAATGAAAATGGGGAGCCTTTAATTGAGCTATGTGTAGAAAGAGGTTTGGTAATAAGTAATACATATTTTATGAAAAAGAGGATAAATATACAAGGTATGATATAGCATGTAATGAAAGTAGTCTGTTAGATTGTATATTGGTGGATGAAAGGTTTATAGAGGGGCAACTGATATATCGGATCATTATATAGTTGTAGCTACAGTTAGAGTAAGAGGAAGATGGGCCAAAAGGAAAATGGCAACAAGAAATAAGAGAGGTGAAAGTGTATAAACTAAGGGAGGAAAGAAGTTTGGGTGAGATACAAGCAACTATTGGCAGAAAGGTGGGCTAGTGCAAGTATGAGTAGTGGGGAAGTTGAAGAAGGTTGGAATAGTTTTATAAATGCAGTATTAGAATGTGGGGGCAGAAAGTTTGTAGCTATAGGAGGGTGGATGCAGGAGGAAAGAGGAGCGATTGGTGGAATGATGAAGTAAAGGGTGTGATAAAAGAAAAGGGTAGCTTATGAGAGGTTTTTACAAAGCAGAAGTGTTATAAGAAGAGCAGAGTATATGGACAGTAAAAGAAAGGTGAAGAGTGGTGAGAGAGTGTAAAAGGAGAGCAGATGATAGTGGGAGAGGCCCTGTCAAGAAATTTTGAAGAAAATAAAAAATTTTTGAGATAAAAAAGTTAAGAAAACCTAGGGAACGAATGGATTTGTTAGTTAAAAACAGAGTAGGGGAGTTAGTAGATGGGGAGATAGAGGTATTGGGTAGATGGCTGGAATATTTTGACTAACTTTTAAATATCAACCAAGAAAGGCAGGCGGTAATTTCATGCACTGGCCAGGGAGGTGTACCATCTTTTAGGAGTGAAAAAGAGCAGGATGTGAGTGTGGGGGAGGTGCGTGAGGCATTACGTAGAAGGAAAGGGGGTAAAGCAGCTGGAACTCATGGGATCATGACAGAAATGCTAAAAGCAGGGGGAGGTTATAGTGTTGGAGTGGTTGGTATTTTTGTTTAATGTATGAGAGAGGGGAAGGTACCTAGGGATTGGCAGAGAGCATGTATAGTTCCTTTATATAAAGGGAAGGGGCACGAAAGATTGTAAAAATTATAGAGGAATAAGTAAGTTTACTGAGTATACCAGGAAAAGTGTATGGTAGGGTTATTATTGAAAGAATTAGAGGCAAGACAGAATATAGGATTGTGGATGAGCAAGGAGGTTTTAGAGTGGGTAGGGGATGTGTAGATCAAGTGTTTACATTGAAGCATATATGTGAACAGTATTTAGATAAAGGTAGGAAAGTTTTCATTGCATTTATGGATTTAGAAAAGGCATATGATAGTGGGTAGGGGAGCAATGTGGCAGATGTTGCAAGTATATGGAATAGGTGGTAAGTTACTAAATGCTGTAAAGAGTTTTTATGAGGATAGTGAGGCTCAGGTTAGGGTGTGTAGAAGAGAGGGAGACTACTTCCCAGTAAAGGTAGGTCTTAAACAGGGATGTGTAATGTCACCATGATTGTTTAATATATTTATAGATGTGGCTGTAAAAGAAATAAATGCTAGGGTGTTCGGGAGAGGGGTGGGATTAAATTATGGGGAATCAAATACAAAATGGGGATTGATAGTTACTTTTTGCTGATGATACTGTGCTTATGGGAGACTGAAAATAAAACTTGCAAAAGTTAATGGACGAGTTTTGGAGAGTGTGTAAAGGTAGAAAGTTGAAAGTGAACATTGAAAAGAGTAAGGTGATGAGGGCATCAAATGATTTAGATAAAGAAAAATTGGGTATCAAATTGGGGAGGGGGAGTATGGAAGAAGTGAATGTTTTCAGATATTTGAGAGTTGACGTGTCAGCAGATGGATGTATGAAGGCTGAGGTTGACCATAGAATTGATGAGGAAAAAAGGCAAGTGGTGCATTGAGGTATATGTGGAGACAAAAAAAATTGTCTATGGAGGCAAAGAAGGGAATGTATGAAAGTATAGTGGTACCAACACTTTTATATGGGTGTGAAGCTTGGGTTGTAAATGCTGTAGTGAGGAGGCGGTTGGAGGCATTGGAGATATCCTGTCTAAGGGCAGTGTGTGGTGTAAATATTATGCAGAGAATTCGGAGTGTGGAAATTAGAAGGTGTGGAGTTAATAAAAATGTTAGAGGGCTGAAGAGGGGTTGTTGAGGTGGTTTGGTCATTTAGAGAGAATTCAAAGTAGAATGACATGGAGAGCATATAAATCTGTAGGGGAACGAAGGCGGGGTAGGGGTCGTCCTCGACAAGGTTGGAGGGAGGGGGTGATGGAGGTTTTGTGGGCGAGGGGCTTGGACTTCCAGCAAGCATGTGTGAGCGTGTTAGATATGAGTGAATAGAGACAAATGATATTTGGGACAGTCAAAGGGTTAACCCTTAACCCTTAAATGGTCCAAACGTATATATACGTTTTTTCAACATCTGAAAGTATGTAAAAAAAATGTAATCTTTTTTTTTTTTTTTTATTTGAAAATATGTAAAAAAAAAAAAGTAGATCTACTTTTGTAGCACTACGAATTTGAACGTCGATCTGTTTGGACCGTTTAAGGGTTAAACGGTCCAAACGTATATATACGTTTTTTCAACATTTGAAAGTATGCAAAAAAATGTACATTTTTTTTTTTACATTTGAAAATGTGTAAAAAAGCATAATCTACTTTTGGAGCACTACGGATTTGAACGTCGATCTATTTGGACCGTTTAAGGGTTAAAGGAGGGGTTTGGGATATTGGCAGTTTGGAGGGATATGTTATGTATCTTTATACGTATATGCTTCTAAACTGTTGTGTTCTGGGCACCTCTGCAGAAAGAGTGATTATGTATGAGTGAGGTGAAAGTGTTGAATGATGATGAAAGTATTTTCTTTTTGGGGATTTTCTTTCTTTGTGGGTCACCCTGCCTTTGTGGGAGATGGCCAACTTGTTAAAAAAAAAAAAAAAAAAAAAAAAAATTATAGGGTGTGTAGAAGAGAGGGAGACTACTTCCCAGTAAAAGTAGGTCTTAGACAGGGATGTGTAATGTCACCATGGTTGTTTAATATATTTATAGATGGGGTTGTAAAAGAAGTAAATGCTAGGGTGTTCGGGAGAAGGGTGGGATTAAATTATGGGGAATCAAATACAAAATGGGAATTGACAGTTACTTTTTGCTGATGATACTGTGCTTATGGGAGATTCTAAAGAAAAATTGCAAAGGTTAGTGGATGAGATTGGGAGTGTGTGTAAAGGTAGAAAGTTGAAAGTAAACATAGAAAAGAGTAAGGTGATGAGGGTATCAAATGATTTAGATAAAGAAAAATTGGATATCAAATTGGGAAGGAGGAGTATGGAAGAAGTGAATGTTTTCAGATACTTGGGAGTTGACGTGTCGGTGGATGGATTTATGAAGGATGAGGTTAATCATAGAATTGATGAGGGAAAAAAGGTGTGGTGCGTTGAGGTATGTGGAGTCAAAAAATGTTATCTATGGAGGCAAATATGGGAATGTATGAAAGTATAGTAGTACCAACACTCATATGGGTGTGAAGCTTGGGTTGTGAATGCAGCAGCAAGGAGACTGTTGGAGTCAGTGGAGATGTCCTGTTTAAGGGCAATGTGTGGTGTAAATATTATGCAGAAAATTCGGAGTGTGGAAATTAGGAGAAGGTGTGGAGTTAATAAAAGCATTAGTGAGAGTGCTGAAGAGGGGTTGTTGAGAGAATGGATCAAAGTAGAATGACATGGAGAGCATTTAAATCAGTAGGAGAGGGAAGACTGGGTAGGCGTCGTCCTCGAAAAGGTTGGAAGGAAGGGGTAAGGGAGGTTTTATGGGCGAGGGGCTTGGACTTCCAGCAGGCGTGCATGAGCATGTTCGATAGGAGTGAATGAAGACGAATGGTATTTGGGACCTGATGATCTGTTGGAGTGTGAGCAGGGTAATATTTAGTGAAGGGATTCAGGGAACCCGGTTATTTTTATATAGCCGGATTTGAGTCCTAGAAATGGGAAGTACAATGCTTGCACTCTAAAGGAGGGGTTTCGGGTTATTGGCAGTTTGGAGGGATATGTTGTGTATCTTTATACGTATATGCTTCTAAACTGTTGTGTTCTGAGCACCTCTGCAAAAACAGTGATTGTGTGTGAGTGAGGTGAAAGTGTTGAATGATGATGAAAGTATTTTCTTTTTGGGGATTTTCTTTCTTTTTTGGGTCACCCTGCCTCGGTGGGAGACAGCCGACTTGTTGAAAAAAAAAAAATATAATATATATATATACACCTACCATCTGACTTACGATCGAGTTCGGTTCCGAGAAACCCGTCGTAAGTTGAAATGGACGTAAGTCGAACTTTACTACTGAATATCAACATCACATTTTTGTAATGGCTATTTTATTGTTTTATTTTGGCATTTCATGTTTTACTTAACTTTTTATGCTGTTAGTATTGTATTTTATACTGTAAGGTTTAGGATAAACACTGTGTACAACACAAATAGTTGTTTATTTCCCAGAAATTTGGCATAAAAAACACGGTCGTAAGTCGAGTGGTTGTAAGTCGAGCAGGTTGTAAGTCGGATGG